CTTAAAGTGTGCTTTGTCTTGAACATAGTCGAGTTAGAGTTAGCTTTTTCGCTTAGTTCCGGCTGTAAAATTAGAGTGAGGAAATTCTTTACTAAAACTTTTGGTAACTTGGTGAAATTTTATTAAATTACAATTCCAATCGTTTTTGTTAATATAAATAAAGAATATATCTATATACTCTTATATATATGTAATTGTAACATTTGAGGCGATTTTAGATAGAGCTCCTCCTCCAAATGGAGGAAGTTACAGTGCTAAGCTTATACGAGTATTTCATGTCAGAAGTGAGATCGCAATTAATTTTACAATTTTATCATTATCATTTAAAAAAGCTTTTTTCTTTAGATTATAGCTTTGGTAAAGCATCAAAAGTGTTTTATAAAACTTAAATTTGAAAAACCGGAAATAAAAAAAGGAATCTTCAAGTGGTAGTTTGCTTTTTATGGCCTCAGATGTACTTCAAATCAGCTTTTCATAATACAATTTTCCTGGGTATCCCCGTGATATCTTCTCCAAATCGGAAAACATTTGGCTGACACTTCAAAAGTGATTTCTCAATTAGAGGTACCAAAAAAAAATATAAAATATTATAGAAAAGTAACTCGGAAGAAAATACTAAATGGCAAAGCAATTGAAGAGTCCCTCACTAGGGCATGCCGCTAAACTGTCTATGATGCCCAAAAAGTTAGATTGAACTTTACGGTTTTAGTGTCACTCTAACTAAACCCTACTCAACTTCCGACTATGATTATGGACAATAGAGTTGAAAATTAATAAATTTTATATCAAAAACCTTATTACGATATTTAATTTTGATAACAAAAGCATACCAAAGACTTTCTGCTCTTTAATTTAATTGTGTCAAAAAGAAAAAAAGAGCGGTAGTTCATTAAGCTCCAACAAATTTTGTAAATCACCACCAGTGCTTGTTTACGTTTCGATTTTTTGTTTGTTGCTTGGTTCTCACAATGTGTGCTTTCTGTGTTAGTCACTAAGCTAACGGTAGTTAGCACTTACGTATTTGTATATCACTGCACTGAAAAAAGCTCAAGCGCATTCTACGGTTTTGGCATAAAAGCTTTGCGCTTTAGACCAATTGGTGTGAGCTTTTAGCAGAAAGCTTTCATAACTGAACAAATATATTGTATATATACCGCGCTTATTATATTTGCCAGACGACCGCAGTGCGTGATACCATGCGGAAGGTCATAAGTGTGAATATTGAGCAGAACGCCGTCAAAAAAAATTGTATTCGTTTTTTAGACGTGGCCGCACCTTGGCAGGGAATGTTAACCCCAGCAGGTGTATTACTAACATAAAACAATAGCTCACTCGTGATAAAAGTTCATCGGCCTATAGGCCCCTACTTTCGTTGGATGAAAAATCGGCAGACAGAGCTTGTCCTAAAATCGCGCTAATTATATAATACTTTTATCTATCTATCTATTGATGCTCTTTTAGACCAGTGGACCAGGGACTGACCTATTCGAAATAAGGTTATTTACGGCTGAACTTACTCGCGATTCGGTGAATTGGTGGTTTTCTGTTTAGATTGGCAGGAAGATTACACTTCTCTCCGGAAAGTGGACCGGGCACTGACACATTCGAAAAAATTTTATTATGGCTGAATTTACTTGTAATTCGGAGGCTTCTTTTTTTCTTCTTTTTCCCGGGAAATGGACTAGGGACTGACCTATACGAAAAAATCATATTTGTGGTTTTATTTTCTTCGGTGAATAGATGGCTTTTTGCTTAGATAAGTAGGAAGACTATTCCTCTCTCCGGGAAGTAGACCAATTTCAATGGTAAAACCAAAAGTGTTGTATACCCATAAGTATTGAGTAAATAAATTTATGATAACAAGATATCCCATTAATAATTTGTCTTATATTCAATGAACAAGTGTGATAGGGCACAGCTAGTTGAACCGCTAGTCCTCGTACTGATAATAAAAGATTTTAAAAGGTTGATAACTTTGTGCTAGACGAAGCAAATCAATAGTGATTTCATGCATGCAGGGTTCATTAGTAATATTAATGTTTCTAGAGTCTCTTATTTACATAGACTTGGCATTGAGCAAAAAAGTTTTTAATTGCATTGGAAACTCTAATTGTAGAACATTTTGGTTTGAATCTGGCATTTGTCGCTATATAAAGAATTCTTGCAAAAATCACTCTAAATACTAATCAATCATTCGGAGGCGAAATAAAAATATATCTTCTATACTGGCATGAACACCGCGTACGCGATTATAGCCAAGTTAATTTACACTGCTTAACGTCAATTGGGTCTTATTTATCTACTTAATATATGGCACTGTGGCTGTGTGCACTGACAGCAGATGTTTCGTCTAGTCTTCGTTCACTACCAGCTCCAGTTCTCCACCGAACCCATACGCTTCAACCTCTCATTCAGTCTGGAAAAACCAGCGCTGCTGTTGACGTCAGAGCTATATATATCCCCGGCGTACACTAGTAACGGTAAAATCTTATAGAAGTTTGTACTTCCCCTAATCAGCTCAGCAGCTGAGCTCGAATTATTGTATTTTCTCAAGCATTAATCTATTGAAGTCAAGAAATTCAGCAATGACTTAACGAAGGGTTGTAAAATCGATTCGACTCTTTCGAAAACACCTCATGCCTTACTTCTAAGTGCAATTAACAAATATATAATATGCATGTGCTATATACAAACTTCAAGCAAAGCTTTTTTTCGTCACACTACAAATTAACGGGAGGAAAACCAAAAACAAAAGTAAATAAAATATTTAAATAATCATATTGCATTTGAGTTGAGCTTTTGTTAATTATCAATAGATCATCGCACATACTTACATACATACATACATACAAATGTACATACGCATATACAAAATCTATAAATGCCACAGAAGCAGTGTGAATATTTTCATTACTCAAAGTAAACTTCAAACAGTTGCATTATTTAAATATTTAAATATTTAAATATAAAATCAAATTAAAATGAAGCATTTCAACTTATTCATCGTAATATTCTTGGCTTTGGCTATGTATTTCACAACAACAAGCGCACAAGACTTGTGTGCCTGCCCCTACAACTACTCCCCGGTCTGTGGCAGCGACGGCCGAACATATGGCAACGAATGTGATTTGAGGTGTAATCAGAAGAAACGTCCTGGATTGCGACTAGCACGAAACGGAGCGTGCTAAAGGGAATACTTTTTAACAACAGCTATTTAAAAAATAAAAATTTCATATTTTTCGGTTGTTTTTTGGAAAAGTGACTTTGCAAACATTTTTATTTTAATTAGCGAATAAATATTGTGAGCCAATTGAAGGTTTTGTGAGGGATTTGTGTATAAAAATAGCAAAAAAAATGTTAATGAATAGAAATAAATAAAATTAAATAAAAAGCAAAAATTATTTATTTAATGACAAAGTATTTTTTTGGGTCAGTAAGTCAAGTTTGTTATGCGATAAAGCGCCTGATTAGAGCCTGACTCACTTTAATTTTCTCAATGCATACAATAAACTGGTTTCTTTCTTAGAAAGAGTGCAATGTTTGCTATATTAAATGAAATTAAAAAGAAAGCAGATTTTGATTATACATACATACATCTGGCTGTGATATAATATTTGTAATGCTTTACGGAATAACCATATTGGTCTCGCAAACGATACAATAATAATACAAAATTTAATGAAGTAAGCTCAGAATTTCTCGTTTCGATTCTACTTTGCATTTGCCCAATTGTTCGTTTGTATAAAAAAATATAAAAATAATATTCGTACTTGTGCTTATATTTATATTTGAACAACTTGCGATTAAACTAGAGACTTATTTGTACGCATGTCTGTATGTATGTGCATGCGTTTGTGGTTCTTAGAAACTAAGAAAATTATAGAAATAAAACAGCATCTTATATTCATATGTGTCAGAAATATAATATGTATATGAGAACATTGGGGTGGTTAAAATAATTAATTTTCGTGAACCGCAAAAAGCTCAGTGGGACATGGATAAACATATTTTGAGTTATATTCTCCTTATTTGCCATACAAAGTTCTTTAAACTTTAATTCATTTTTCGATGTTCCTTGAAGTTTCAGAATTGTTGTTGTTAAATAAATTAAAAATTCGTGCATAAAAAACTCCAAAATATCATTTTAAAAATTATTTTAGTAAAAAAATTATTTAGCGCATGGAAATTTTATCACACTTCGATGAAGAAAATTTCATGAATTAACAATGGTAAAAGTTACTTACATTGGCTTAGATAACCATTTTAACCATTTATTACTGTTAAATGTCATTAGGCACTAATTATTCGTGTTGTTCATAAGCTACTATTCAAATCTACTAATTTTACCTAACTGTATTAATAAAACAAATTTCAATTATGAAATGAAGAAAAAATTCATTTTTATACCAAAAAATATTCTAAAAACTTTTGCCACACCATAAAATGTAAAAAACATTAACTGGAGTGTTTTGCATGTTTTTAAAGTACCGTGAAGTACACTTTTAAATAAATTACCCAGCAAACGCTTTCGCTTTCGGAAGTGACGCCATTAACGCCCAACAATATTTTCAAACATAGATTAAACTATTTTGAAATTAAAGTTTAATTATATTTTACTTTGTCCTTGGAACAGTCAAAGTGCGAGTCCTGGTCCGACGACTATCCAATAAAAATAGAAAAAAAATGTAAATAAAAATCAAGTTAATTTGCCCAATTTTGATCGCCCCTCGGCAGGCAATCTCCAGCCCTCCGAGTGAATTTCTGACACTAAATTCAAAGCTCCTCATAAAAATCTATGGGACGTTCGAAGACAGCTAAGGAGAACAACAGCGAAACCCACAAAAGCGCCAATTTGCGAAATTGGAAGCTTGTATGCATATTAGTTATTAATTTCTGTCATATTCGACACCAACTTGAGAATTAAATATTTTCAAATACTTTTCTTATGTTTTCTGGGTATCTTTGTATAAAAAAACTACCCTACTACTTAGCCACGCTTACTATTTATTTAACAATTTTACTATGAAACCAATACTCAACATTTAGCCCTAGAATTTATATTCTATGTGTGAGTGACTCAATATGACGACTTACCAATTTTTCCATAAAAGCATATTAACACTCAACATGGCAATTTAGTTGACTTCCGCAAGTACTTACGCGAACTATAATACATATATACCACGCGGAAACTGCAAAAAAGAATAAAATTATTTATATAAACGAGCGAAATCTGCAACGAAAACATGAAATTTCTGGAACTTATTGCCTTTCTCTTCGTGGGAGTCTTTCTATTCACCAACGTGACCAACGCCGATGATGTGACCGAGGATGGCCGACCTATCTGCGTCTGTCCACGTGTCCTGCATCCTGTTTGTGCTGAAAATCAAGTAACTTATGTGAACGAATGCGAATTCGACTGTGTACGAACACACGAGGAACGTCAGGGGCGCAGTCTTGCATTATTACGGGAAGGACGATGTGAAGACAATTAAATAAAATTTTATATGATTTAATAATGACAAAAAATTTTATGAAAAAGGGCTGAAAATAACATGCAAATAAAAAATGTGATAATTTATTAAATTTCATGGTGAATATAATTTTTTATTTCATACAAATATTCACTTATAATAATTATAAAGTGAAAAAAGTACATTTCTATTGGGGGCACTCATTTGCAACATTAACGAAGTGATCATGGGTTCAAAACCGGATCTACACCAACGACTAAAATTTTAGGAAATTAATTTAATAAAATAGTTTTCTAATTTCGGTCGGCCGTCAGCAAGCAATGTCAAACCCTCTCGAGCTATTTCTGACCTGTTATTAGAAGGTCTTCATAAAAGAACGTCAGCCGTTCCATTTATTGAAAAGCCGGCCACAAATCTCTACAGTTTAAGATAATTTGATTTGATTTAATTTAATTTAATTTAATTTAATTTAATTTAATTTAATTTAATTTAATTTAATTTAATTTTATTTTATTTTATTTTATTTTATTTTATTTTATTTTCTTTTTTGTTTGATAAAAAATATATTTACAAATAATTTGTTCGTGCAATATTGTAAATACAAATTAATAAGAAATAATGACTGTGTGAATTGTTATATATAATGAGCTCAATATGATTGATATCGACAATCAGAGCGATAATATTCTAATACCATAGATAAAAATTTCCGCAGTGGTCTGCGAGGGAATTGAAAATTAGATAAAATTATATTGTTGGTATATCTGACTAAGCCGAAATACATTTATCAGTAACCAGTAGCACATTAAAAGCCTTATCAACAAGCCTAGTAGTTATCAATTTTTATATAAATTAGTTGAACAAAGCAGAGTTCGGCTGATCTTAAAATGTGTCTAAAAATGGTTTGTGTATGTAGAAGCACAGATAAATAAAAAAAAACATTTTAAATAAAACTAAGCTCGAGAAGTTCGTGGTTTCCTTTGAGCGTTGCATAGTTTTAAGCGCAGGCAGGCGCTCACTAAATATAATGAAGCGTGTAAAATTTCTTACAATTTCCACAGAAAATCCTTATCTTCCACTCATTACAATCTGTAGCTACTAAATGTTTTTTGAAAATTCCATCTTCCTCATCTTCGATTGCAATAAAACACTCTTTATCTACATTTTCCGCTGCTCAAAACACTTTATTTAGTGCACGTTATGTTAATATTTACAAGTCACCATCTTCAACGACCTTCTCACTGCAAGCTCCCTCCCGCAGCAGACTTAATACCTTGCCCAAACGAGCCAAAACCGAACGCTTACAATCGAAGAGACAACGATTGCCGTAAGTACGAAGGTCAGAGCCGCAAACTGGCTGCAAGCTGCGATCACAAATGCATGCGTCCAAATCAGTGTCTTCCTCCGCAGCGCTTTCTACAACTGTCTCCGCAGCTGTCGCCTTCGCATTCCTACGGCCAACCGGCTCACCCGGGCAAACACCGGAGCGCACCAAGGACAAACTACGTCCCTGGGCATTCAACTTCTTGCGCGCACATTCGTATAGACAGCGATTTCCATAGGTTTTGGAGTCAGAAGCACAAACAGGCGTATACTGACGGCCACAAATACAAGATTCCAAGTCATCGGTGGCGTTCAATGGTGCAGCCTCAGCGCCGATACTGGCGTGCGTTTGGTAAATGCAAAGGCTGAGCAAAAACAAAAGGCTTATGGAATATTTTACTGAAAAGTGCATTTTGCACGATTTCTCTTGCTAAATTCAAATTATATACAGGAAACGCGTGTTGTTTTGCGAATTTACTCGAACAAACTGAAGAGTTGATACGCCGAAAGACAGGTAGCAATGGTAAAAAATGATTTCATGCGATCGAACGTTTTTATCACTCACAAATCTTCTGATAACTAACTTAATGGGTGCGTATGCTTACTTTTTCTTTAACTGACGAAATTACCAACATAGAAGGTCTTAGAAGGACAAAAATTGTTAGTCCTAAATTTTTCTGTTTTATTCTGCATTTTTTTTTTTAATCTACATTTCATTTAGTCATAATTTTTTTGAAACAACAAAAAATATATATACATACAAATATCTTCTTTGAATAGGTATGTAACTATCGATGCGTCACCCGTTATTTTTGCAGAACTCGTAAGAAAAAATTATCTTTTTGCCGTCTAATCAGCACTTGAGCAGCATTAAACTGTCAATGTGCGCAAATAAAAAATAATTTGTATATTTGAGAGTTGCGAAAAGCCCAAATTTGCTTCACACACATACTACTTTAAATTTTAATATATGTACGTGAGTCTTGCTGATTTGTGCGCATTACACACGCCTCCGATCGTTTTTAATTGCGTGATTTATTAATTTCTAAGCAATTTGCCGTCTGAATGGTATTTTATTTTTATAAAAATAATCAAATCTTTTAAGTTTCCGATTTATTCGAGAGACAATTATTACAATTTATGGGTTAATTAATTTCCGTTAATCTTAATTTGTACATTTCCTGACATGAAAATTTTCCAATTTCCACTGCGAAGGAACGAAATTTTATTTAAACTAACTTTTTGACTTAATTATTTTTTTCCTGTAATAAAAGTATTAATTGCTGAAACAGTCCTAATTGCCAATTAGTTGTCGGTGTGAACAATGTGGTGTGAAAATTGAAAATCAAATGTAATGCAATATTAATTTCTTAGCACGGTTTGGAAGCATTTATCTTACTAATGTTTCGCAGAGTCTGTTTATAGCCCAGAGAACGTGGGAGAATCTACAACCCGGAGGAAATGAAACACTAGTTAAACAGAATAAATATATCGAAAGGCCGAGTTATATATAGTTGGGAGATAATAATATTGAAATTTAAAAAATTTTGACTAATTATGTTTGCTGTAAAATTTAAAATAAGAAGGTATTTATTTTAAAAACTTGGGTCAATCCAAATTATTTCGTAAAGGGTGTTTTCAGGCATCGCGTTTGAAACAAAACTCATGTAATTTAATGACTTTAGCTTTCCATTATGTTTTAAAAATTATTTCCAGTCGAGGTGTCTAATTTTCGACCACCTTTTTTCAGCAGTTTGAGGCCGAAAATGCCCTTTTTCAGACGTCAATCGCTTTGGGCTTATCTGCATAGACAATCGACTTCATAGAACCCCCTAGAGAGTAAGCCAGCGGCCAGTTAGTCAAATGAAAAACAGTTTCTTACGTTTTAATTTAATTTTGAGATTTGGAAAAGATGAGCAAATTTAGATTTTTAGGGTGATAATTTGTGAAACTTATATTACTTTATTTAGACGTTCTATATGTTAATTTCAGCTTCTCATTACTAAAGGGAATATTGCGCCTAAATTATGTGCAAATGATTTAAAGAATGGTTTTAATGTTTTCCAATTTCTAAAGTCGCTCTGTAGAAACTTTTGCATTATGAATTTAAAAGCTTTACTTTCAAAATCGGACATGCATAAAAAAATATTTGGAGTCATTGCTCTCTTGAAAGTTATTTTCTTTCCACTATTAACATCCATTGCGTACTCCACTTTACTTGCAGTTGCCAGCACACCAGAAAGCATACCGAAACGCGAACGTGACGATCTACCCACCGGTGGCAGTGGCACAGCACCGTCGATTGGCTCAACAAGTGGCAGTGTTACAAACGAGCGACGCTTGAAGACAGACAGTCCCACTGGTAGCAGCTCGGCGGGTCCAATTGGCAGCGGTACGGCAAGTGCCGGCGGCATATTTGCTAGTGAGGAAATACATAGTACAACAACAAGTACAACAGCGCATGCAACCAGTAGTAGCACTGTTGAGAGTGTCACCATAAATGGTCAAATTGGAAGTAAGTTTATTGAAAACTATATATATATATATATATATATATGTACATATATACAATAACTTATGTTATGGGTTGAATATTTATTTTTATTATATATTTTGCGCTACAATAAGAAGAGAATATATTTTATACACAAAAATACACACATGATCCTTGTTTAAAGAGATTTACAATCTGCTTAGAAGAGCTCACAACCCAATATCCATCTTCATTTTTCAAAGAAACAAAATCTTGTTGATTTGCTTGAAGCTACACTTCAGTGGTTAAGCTCCACGAAAATTTCCCTTTGCCTCTCACAAGCAACCAAAAATTTTCTACTTTCCAGACCAGCGATTACTGGGCACCGCGGCGTATACGCGACCGTCGATCTCAGCGCTGAAAAGCGCGCTTCCCTCATAATTCAAAAAGAATATTCCTAGAACACTAAAGTGCCTAAAGGCATAACAATAAATATCCTTTGGTTTAACGCCAACAAATACGTATATACATACATACATGCCATGCTTTTGGGAAAAGTCGAAGGAGGAAATTAAAGTACACAAACAGTTATGTAAACATGAACGCCCACAATGGGCGTTGCGGTAATTCGACGATCCGTAAGTGATTTTGTGCATTGGCGTATGCACACACATGTACATGCACAAGCAAGCAAACAAACAAGTAACGGCAATTATTCAGATTTCAAGAGGAGGTTATAAAAGCGAAACAATAAAAATAAAGTGTAAAAGGGAAATGTTGTACATACCTATGTTTGTATAAATGCATATATATATGTACATATATGTGAATGCAATGCATGAGTTATCCGACAATCGTTTATATAGCATGCTTTCAGGCGGAACTCAAAAATTGATTGTATTGGGTTATGCGATTTGGTCTCATGGAAAATTTGCTGAAGAAGAAAGAATAATAAATATGTAATAAATGAGGCGTTTATTATAAAAATGAACTCGAAAATATTCCGCGTTCACAGTTAACTTCATTTTTTTTTCAATTGGCAATATTTGTTTTTTAACGAAATAAAAAAAAATTTGAAAAAATATTTTTAATTATTTTTACCCAAACTTTTTAAATTTGTTTTAGAAAAATGAATTACAAAAATGTGTATTTTAAGTGTTCAAATATTTTAATTTATTTAATAGTTCTTAACTCAAAATAATATAAATACAAAAAGGCGTCTGTTAAAAACCTTTTTAAAATCATTTTCACGAGTCGCGAAATTAGTTGGCGATAAAGATAAATTAAAAAAAATATTTTCTCAGCACCAAACGAACAACCCATTACAGAGCGCAGCAGACGGTCCATTTCATAGGTCTACTTCCACCACGTAACGGGAGAAGAAAATTTTGCGCATTTCTGTTCATATTTATTTTTATGCTTCGTTACGCACAACGGTGTTTATTTCGATTTTTCTGCCTATTTAAGCAGCGTCTCGACGCACCGGCTTGCTCTTTTTAAATGAGCGTAAATATTATATCTTTTCACTGTTTGATTTACTGTGTAAATGATTGGTTTCCCCTTTGGCAAAATCTATGTTGATTTTTGGCTTAATTCTCCTGCCAATTGTGCAGGCCGCGATAGAAGCAGTCTTTTGAGAATGCTTATCTTTAAGCCTGAGAGAGCCTCAGAAAGAATTTTATATTCAGAAAATTAGAAATACTTCCAATGATTGAACGATTAGTTTTAGTAACATTTTTTAATTTGTTTTTTTTTACCATGAAAATTTTACAAAACTCTCTTTCTGCTTTACCCCTTCAACAGGGCACGGCTCGCTCACCATTGTACGCCGTTCGAATAGTCGCAAGAGTTTTATACAACTTGACGCACAACAACAGCAACAACTCACATCACCATCCACCGCTGCAACAACACCAATAGGCGCATCATTACACACACAACAACAACAACAACAACAACAGCAACAACAACAACAACCATTTGCCGGCGTAACCGCCGATTTAGCTGCACAATTGCTCAGCAACAGCAGTGACAAAAAGTTTGCGCAACAACAAACGCCCAGCCAATTGCCAACAGCTCCAACGAGCAGCACTGACAATCGCGCAACAACAGACAGCAACAAAAATAGCAATAATAGCAATAGCCAGTTTGAAGGAAGCTCAAAAGTTTTTGCGACCCCAGCAACAAACGTCTCAGCCATTGGTAACACGTGCCACCAGCTACGACAAGCGAATAACGCCAGCACTGCAGGCAACACCAACAAAGACAGCACAGTTAGCTGCATCAACGATAACACCAACAATCGGAGTCCAGGATTCGCCGCCAATAGTAACATAGTAACCGCCACCACCAGCTTTAGCGTTGCCAACAGCGAAATGCAATCGTCCGCACCGAGTTCACCGAATGCCGGCAATTTCCGTGCGGCTACACGCGACAATGCCGATAATGAGCGGGATGCGGAGACGGTCAGTGCGTCGGGCGCGAGTTTGGACTTGGCCACGGAAAATTTACCAGCTGTCGATACACCGGACGCATGCGATAAGGCGGCTGTGAGGTTAGTAATGGAGAACGATTTTAGCAGGGCATAGCATATTTGCTGAGCCAGGGTTGTGTTCAAGTGAACTGTCTCCGACACTTCAAAATTTTCGTAAATTTCTAAGTTTTTAATCATTATTTCTGTAGACAAAATAAGTAGCGAGGAAACAGAAAGGCTAGAGAGAAGAAGCCAATATGAAATGCCGAAAATTTTTTTTAAATCATTAATAAAGTGTAAAACTCTCTAATAATTTATTTACTTTCCCTTCTAGATTACGCTGCTTATTGCATTTAATAAATACCGGCGAAATCTCGAATGATATTTTGCAACGCAATCTTCATTATGCAGCACGTGTGCTCGAGGCCGTCTTCCTCGACGAGTCCAAGTAAGTATTTTGATTTCAAGTTAAACTTTTCAACTGAAACCAAACTAAAAGGCATTTATTTTCAATAAAGTATTGAGACTTATAACAAGGAAACATATTTTAGTATGATTAGGACTGAAAAATATGAAATCATTAGAGAAACTTACGTCAAAAATAGTGTCGAAATGATCAACTCAAATCGCAGTCATGAGAGATTTATTAACATAAAAATTAGAAAAAAGGAAGAAACAACAAACGAATACTGAAATCATGATCATTTCTGCTGCTATTCTTAGATAAATTCATTATTTTCCCTTATCTTCGAAAGCTTTCACATAAGCTCATCTTAAAAAGTTATAAATTCATATAATGAAGGATTTTACGCTCATTAAAAGCTTAGGTCGAAAAATTATAAAACCTACATACACTATTGATAAATGAAGCTTTTTTATAAAAAAATAGATAACTGAGCTTTATTTTAGCAGCAAAGCTCTAAAAGGATTTGGCTGCAAGATTGCAAAAAAAAAAATTTATTGATATTTTGCTACAAAAATCACACAAGCTCTTCAACCAGCTAGCTTGCGTAGCTTTTTGTAGTAAAATAAGCGCTTAAATAGAATTTTGCAAGAAATGAGCTTTCGTTACGTGCTTCATAGTAAGGTAGTGGTACAATTCAAAGATTTCTTAAAGGCGTTAGGTTGACAGTTTATTTTTAATCCATCAAAATATATCACTACAAATCATATCACATAAGTATTTTCTCACTGTATATGTATGTGTCACTTGTTATCACTCACTTTCGAACTTTCGAGCTTTCACTTCATCGTGCTTTATTACACATTTATGTGTGTTGTTCATCATTTTCATTTCAATCATTGTCTGAGTGTTATTTGTATCATTCGTATTAGATAAATCATATGATAATTGTTTTCTGTTTGAATATAAGCAAAAAGGCACACAAGCAATTTAAAGCTCCTCAACACAAATATTGCTATAAAGAGGATTGAAAAGTGTGTTGCGAACTTTCACTAAATGTTTAAGCTACCACGGCGGAAAACTCAAACGTGAAATCCTCTCTTTATTGTTGTTATTATTTAGGTGTCATAAGCAATTGTTATTAAATGTATGAATTTCTCCAGTATTTTCAATCTGTTTTTCATCTTAATTGAACACTTAAAAGGATTTTTATTTAAAAAAAAAATATATATAAAAAAATCGTCTAAATTATCTCTTCATTTTCTATCGACTTTTATGTGTGTACATGTATGCAATTTGCTTGATTCGAGAAGAAGATCATCTACATCCATTGATTGTTCCAAAAGGGGGTCTTCTTCTAAAATTTCCGCTCAAACTTCTAACGCAGAGTAAGTGTTAGTTTGACTTACATACATACGAAAATATAGTACGTGCGTACACACAAATCTTAAAAAATATGGAAATACATGCATACATATGTATAGTACTCGTAAATATTAGCTGTGCAGTTTTAACATCCATTTTTCTGTATTTTATTAAATTATGCCTTTGAGTGTTTATTATCTACATACAAACTTATTTAATATTTATATAGGCATTCTTAGTCTTCGCTATATACCAACATACATATATTTAGTTAGACGAAAGCTCTTGCCTCTCCAACTTTCTACATTTTAATTACAATATAAATGTCACTATTCGCGCAAATTATCAGCAAAAAAAAATATGTATGTATATATGTTATAATTGTTTATTAGCATTATTATTATTATTTGATCATATTTACAGGCATATTTGTTCGTAATTACTCATCACTTTAGATCATTGAGCCATCACATTGTCATAAACAGCCCCAGCCCTAACCTGCAAGCCCTTCGATTCGCCAGCATTTAGCGAGTACCGTCAGAAACAGTTTGACATTTACTTTGGAAGGAAATGCTTCGAATGAAATTACTTAAATTTAAATATTGCTAAAGAATTTCTATGAGTGTTAAGTCAGAAAATTTCGGAAAACCACGAAGTGTTTTCAAATATGAATTAACCTTCAAGTGATTTCATAAGTAAGATTTTTGGTCTGTTCAAAAAGTTTAAATTTCGCGAAAAATGTTATTGAGAAATCAGTGTCTCACCTGTGTTAGCATACAGAGCTGTTCTGAAATCGAGATCGGAAAGGCATCCGGTCGGCATTATTCAACTAATTGCTGTTCCTTTTTCGATCTATTTGAAAATTCCTACGGTGGAATAGAAGGTTTTTTTAGAATGTGGTTTTCAATGAAACAATATTTTGCCCGGAGTTGATCTCTTTGACAGCTATGACTTGCTTTATACTCAAAATGGTTTGCCATTTCACAGCGAGGAGACCAGTTATGGAACAACGTAATACAAAATTTATTACCAAAAATCATGGTTAGGTTCAGGGGAGCCCTAATTAGTGAGCCAATGAAACAATAATTTTTTTTTTTCAATCCATTGTGCTTCATCGTGGACCTGTAGCATGACCTCTAAAATCGTGCAGTTTAACATCTCCTGACTGTGAACTCTGTGAACTGTGTGAAGTCGCTTGTCTACGTAGCTAAGCCCGGGGCGATTGATGCCCTGGTAGAGAATATGCGGCGCGTTATTGCCAACACACCTCCTTAAATTGCTGAAAAATTGTCGAAAAATTGGCCCTCCCGATTGGAGTTTAATCGTGCTGATCCCGGCGGTCACTTGCCCGAAATATTTTTTGAAAAATAATAGCAAACCCATAGAGAAATTCTAAATTCTTGGCCATAACATTGAATTCTATGAATATTATTTCTCCCCGAAAACCACATATTCCACCGACCGCTGGTAGTGTCCGACACTTGTTATAATATCTCGTCATTTTGGGTATTAAACAATACACAGATTGATTGCGTAATGAATTTCTCGTATCTTCTAAACCGAAAGCTTTACTTTTTTATAAGCTGAGAACTGCACCACCAGCCAATTTTCCACCATATTTCTTTTGACGGACTAAAGTCCACAATGCTCTTTGACATTGGATGTTAACCCAAATCCCGGCAACAAAGCAATTTCAACGATTCGAATTTGTTTTTTATAGCAATTTGACAGGTATTTTGTCTCTCAGTCGGAAATCCAAATCGAGCGATCCAATTTCAGTTCAAGCTGTTTGAGTCAATAGTGGTAAAAGAGAATTGATTTCGGTGATTAGTGTCAGTAGGAATTAGGCAGTAACTGGCTTTTTGTAAAAATTATTACTGACCAATCAGCTCACCGAGCAGAACTAGTAGTAATTCGCTGAATTCAATTCGTTACTTTGTATTTAGCCGCTACTCCTTCGTGTGTTTCTGCCAACTAAACGCGTGGCGAATCGAAGTTACCAAAAATGACAGTTATAGCAAATATTAAGTGAACTTTCTCGGAAGAAGAATTAATGGCAATGAAATATTTATTAACAGCGATGTTTTAAAAACTAAATTTGGCTAAATTTTGTCAACTTTAAATTGAAATCTTTCTTTCATGAAATAACTTTTCGAAAAAATCGCTTAAAATTTGTTAATTTGTCGAATAAAGGCTTTTTAATAGTTGTTAGTGGAACGAAAATAAGTGTGTTTTAGCGCCGTAGGTTCCTAGCATTTAATTTATTGTATATTTGTTTACCAACCACCCTGCGTCATGTCCTTGAAGTGACAAAATAATCTATCGTGGCTCCGCCTCTCTTTCCGTAATTTAACTCTTTCGGTGTATGTGTGTGTATATTTAGTTTGTAATAGATAAACTCTATAGAGTTGTGTCAAAACTGCAGAGAAACTCAAATAAATCGCAATTCAATTGCGCAAAAAAGCCCCCCAACCAAAAGAAAGTACAACAAAAGTTGACACCCATAAATTGGCAATGACCCGCTGGCAGTTTTGACAAAGTTCTGTATGTCAAAAAAAGTTTAGCAAAAAAAAAAAATATTATATATCAGGAATGCTCATCAGCTCGCAGTTATTTGTCCACTTAGAAGGCACTCAGTTTTATTAAATGTGATTTACATATTAGACCTTTTTTTGTCGCTCTTTTTCTATAAACTTTTTTCGTGCTTAATAAAGGATATACCAAGTATATACATACAAATATACAAGTATGGGTAATGTACGCACTTACATAACTATTTAGTTACTTAGCCTGTTTGTAGCGAGCGTCTAAGCGCTCCAACTAAACCCCAAATCCTCTGAACAAGTTTCGCCCGCAAAGTTGCAAAAGTTAAAAATACAATTTTTACCTTAGAATAGCATAATTTTACTTTCTACCACACAATTGAAGTTTGATAATGCTTAAGAAATACAAAAAGAAAAAGCTATCGATGGAATTTTCTACTATTGATGTCTGTGTGGATGTGCTCTTAACTTATACGCATTACCTGTATACTCATACCTCAGAATGTCTTTTTTCCTGCAGTCCAAAGTGCAAGTTGAAGCATGTCCCTAGTCTTCGTCTCGCATATCCGTTTCTTTCTTAAAAGCTTATAATGCTTTTTCGTACTTAACCTAATGCAGTAGACAAGCTTTTGTCATGCTGTCTTCACTTATACTTTAACTCCGTCTCTCTCCAACTTGGCTCTCTCTGTCTATCTCTGATGACGGTCTCTAAAAATATGTTTCACTTTCCTACATTTTTCCGTAAAAATCTGATTTATTTACAAAGTAGCTATAAAAAGAAGTCTCACACAAATACGTATGTATATAAAAAGTTTGTATGAAAAAAAATAGAATTTACTTATTTTTCTTGTGACCTGCTCTCAGGCTTTACAATGCTCATTCACCGAACACGAAGGGCCAACTTACATGCATATTTCCCCATCCTCATCAACATAATGTAACCTCTGTGTAAACATACCATAAATAGGTATCGACGTGTGTACATATTCATTTCATATATATAAACACATCTGCATACATATAAATTTATATACAATGTTTTGTGTTAGTTCAACATCAGCTTAGCATATACATGCATACATACGTTATTCTTATTTGTATTATTATTTGGTAAATATGTATGCAAATAGGAAACATTATGCAAAATTGACTAAGGATAAGTAAGCTAAAAATATTCAGGAGTTTACATAAATCAGTAAACGCTTTGATATACCCACATCACCACTTGAATAGGACACTTCTTCTGGGTTATATTCTTATATTGCCACTCCCACATAATTCTAGTCCTCAATTGCAGCATAGTACTGAGTGAGATGAGAAGACCAATATATGAAAGCACTCCGGGTGGTAAGCTTGCTATAAAGATTGACTTGATTCCCGTGATAATCGCAAAATCGAAATCGTCTCTTCTACGTCTCTTTCTGTGCTTGTCTCTACCTGGGACACTGAGTATATTGAATATGTTTCCAGCGCTTGCAGTAGATCGTCGTGAAGAAGATATGCTCTACATTCAATCAAGGTTGTCTCACTTCTATCACAAACCTAACTTTCTTTTGTTATATATTTTTATATGCCCACGATCTTTTAAAAAGGCTGGAAAGGGGTTGATTGACGTGACTGTTTCATATTCAGTCTTATTTTTAAATCCTTCTTATTTAAGCTTCTCTTTGAGAGAGGTTAAATTGAATTGGATAATAATAGGGAATCTCACTTTAATTTTGTTGCCAAAAACGCTGCTACGGCCAATGCTATACTGATCACTCTTCAGTAAGTACCTACCTGCTACCTACCGTTCGCAAATTGAAGTAGTCGTTTGGTGACTTCATCCTTTATATATGTATATACATATATTATTGGCGTTTTGGAACCGCTGAAGCAATTTTCGGCCGAGCTCTTCCTCCAATTTGTGGTGTTGATGTTTTCCCAACAAATAAAGGGTTCTCCAGATTACACTAAACCTTGAATCGCGAATGGTTTTTTATGAGGAGCCTTTATTTCATGTCATAAATACACTCTGACAGGTTTACATTCCCTGTCGTTGAGTTTTCGCAGTCGCCATGTATTCATTATAGATGAAAATCTCTTCTGTATATTTCTGTGTGCTCCAACTCTCACAAACAGCTTTACCCTTCTAAACGTTTTGTTAGTGAAGATAAGGTGTCCTATTCAAGAGGTAATGCGGAAATATTTATTTAAAAACCAGTTAAACGAACTAAGAAAACAACCTCGAGAATTGAAAAGGTTAATGATTATTTTTGTAACGTATACAGTACACTGCTGTCCATAAATATTAAGCTTACTGCATAACGAGAGGCATAAACACTTCGTACTAAAAGATTAAGATACTATACTACGGAAGGTAACAAAAGTAAATACTTTTCATTTTAATTAAATATTATTGAAACTAAACAAAGGTGGATAATAGAAGACAGGAAACCCCGTATGCTTCACAGAGTATCTCTAACACATGTATTTACTACTAACCCCACAGAGTTTGATTAAAAACCATTGACTTTTTCTTTAATTTATATTTAAAACCAAAAATTAATTCAATTTCTTTTCTCTCTTTCTGCGCTCTCTTTGAATAAACCAAAAAATTTAAAACTAATTATTCTTTGGCGAAAACTTTTACACAAATATTCCGCTATTTCTACCACTCAAAAATGCGCACCTGCTGCGTACGCCTTCCTTGCGCTCTGTATGCGTTGCTGTTGCTATTACTCACTGCCCACTGCTGAGAAATCCCCCACAAAATCAACTAAAATTTCGTAAAAAAAAAAAACATCCCGCTCTTCCCTGTTACGCGCCGCCAACAGTGAGCAGACGCGCGAAGCGAGTAGCAATGGCAATTGTAGGAATGTAAATTGTTGCCAACGCAGCCACGACCAGCACCAGCAGCACAGTTGTAGTGGCGATGGCGGTGGCGGAAACGTCACTGGCGCTGATGGTAGTAGTTGTAGTCATGGCAATCAAGATAATAATAATTCGTGCAACAGTTGTAATCTACGCACTGATAACCAACAACAACAACAACAACAACACAGTAATGCGTCTGACAATCAAACCAGCATCGATAGCCGCACCAAAGGTGTAACATTAGCGCCCCAAACGCATAGTGGACCCACTGGACCGCCGGATACGATTTTAGAAGCAGATGCGGAAACAGAAGCAGCAGCAGAAGCGGATACGAATACGGAAACAGTTATGTCAGCGACAGCGACAACTGATGCGGTGGCACAACTAACACAGGCGGAGGGGAAAGCTGGTGAGTTGGAGTCGTCAACGACAGGTGCTACCAAAGTTACCATTGCAGATAGTAAGAACGAGAATCAGTGTAGCGGTGGTGGTGATGGCGGTCAGAGCGTCGGCAGCAGTAGTAGCAGTAGTAGTAATAAAGCAACCATGCAGAGGCAAAGGCGTCTGCGCACACCGGTCTGGGCGAGGTCCATGTCGTCGACGAACAAAACGTACATAAGATCTTATAAATTTGTAAAACTTTTTATAAAAATTTGTTGTTGCCACTAATTTATTTGGTTTTTGTTCTTTAACTGCAATTTCTTTAAGCAATAAAAAAGTATTTAGCTGTTTTTTCGGATTTTTACTTTTCGAAATTATAATCCAATAAAACCCATCTCTATTGTTGAGTTAAAAAACGTTTTATTAACATGCACACTAACGTATTGTCAAAATACCAATTTTGAGAAACTAAAACAAATATTATATATACAACAAAACATGTTCTGTAAAATACTATAACGTTCTCTTTTTGGCAAAACTCTACGTTCTCTGTCTTATACTGTTGTATTTGTCCTTTTCTAGCGTACTATTTTCTTCTTTCCATCTGTAAAACTGTCTTAAGCATCTATATAACTTTGTACAAAGCTTCCCTTGCATTCTGAGTAAACATAACCTAACACCTTATTTAAGTTCTTGGTTCTGCACAAGTTTCTTAGCTTTTAGGGCTTTTCTAAAAAATGTCGCATGTTTTACTTGTCATTTTGAATATAAATACAGCATTTTATGTGGTTAAACTTTAATTTTTTACATTAGTGTTGATTGCATGTTTGTAAAAACTGACAATTTGCATCGTAATTCGATTAATTTTAATTAAAATATCAAAACACAGGAGAAGTCTTGTATGAAAACACTGGTTTTGTGTTTCTTGTTAGACTTGAACAAATAAATTAACAAAGTACTTAACCATATAAAAAATAACAAAATGAAAGAAAATAAAAAAAATAAAAAAATAAATGCATTGAAATGAATAAAATGAAAAAAAAAAATTAATAATATTTGCTCACTCCAATTTACACAATAAAAGTTTGTCTTAAAATCCATATGTATTTCGAAAAGTATATTTTTCAATACAATAAACAGAAGTTCTGTTATATAGTATACTCGTATATCAGAGATACTCAACAAAGACAAAAATATTATTACCTTTCTCTAATAAGGAAAATTAAAGCATCGAAATGAAATCGTTTACGTTTAGACCGCAGAAAATCTTCGTTAACGTTAAAATGGCTGCTTGCTATGATTTAACAGCACACTCCAATTTTAACGTTTAACAGAATCTGTAAACGATCTAACATAAACCAAAGCTTATTTATTTTAAAAACTGCTTTAATGTTACTATTTCCAAATATTTCAATCGAAGCGGTAGAACATTTTCGATTAATGTGAAATTTATTGTTACGATGCCGCCTTGGTATACATATATATGTAATTGAACAGTTTTTCATATTCAATTGAGAAAGTTCCTAATATATTTACCTCTAGTGTAGACGGAAGTGTTGCCTAACATGCAACTCTGCGCGTAGAGTACACGGTGAACACAGCCAGAGGTGATCAGCTGGCTTATTTGACAGCGCAAAGTTGCCGCCAAAATACAAACAAATTTTCGGTAGCTAACGTTTGCGAAACGCGTGTGAATTTTTGAAAAATCAAATTAAATGATATTATTGTAGAAAAAAGTAACAGATCTTTATATATAGATATATTGACAATGTCTAAAGCAAAAACTGATAAAATGTCGTCCAAGGATAGCGTCCATGGTGAAAATAGTGAAGATTCGTGTGGTGTAAGTTAATTCCAATTGTAAAAGGTGATATATGAAAAAAAATTTTTTATGTTCATTTCCCAAAGGATGATACAGCTAGCGTTAGCACCAATAATACTTCACGCAGTAAATCGCCAACCGCGCGGCGTTCTCGTGGTCCAAAACGTAGCAAAAAACCAAAAGTACGAAAACCGGCATACAAATATGAGTAAGCTAATTTATTCCATGATACGCAGCGTATTTGTTTACACACTTTAATTGGATTTTACTTCCCTTATGCAGTTTCCATGTAAAGGAAAATCACGGACAAGCAATTTTCGGTATTAGTTTCAATCAGTGGCTGGGTAATGATCAACCGCACATTTTTGCTACAGCAGGTAGCAACAGATGCACCGTTTATGAATGCCCACGACAAGGTGGCATTAAATTGCTCATGTGCTACGCCGATCCGGATGTAGGTTAATGCATTTTTCATTGTATATACACTAACTAAGTAATCAATCTTCATCATTTCTTCTTATTTTTGTTACAGCCGGATGAAGTATTCTACACATGTGCTTGGACATACGATATAAAAACATCTCTGCCATTGCTGGCTACTGCTGGATATCGTGGTGTTATTCGCGTTATTGATGTACAGAAGAATGAGACTGTAGGTAACTACATTGGCCACGGTCAAGCCATTAACGAATTGAAATACCATCCGCGGCAACCACATCTGCTTTTATCAGGCAGTAAGGATCATGCAATACGCCTTTGGAATACACAAACTCACGTTTGTATAGCGATTTTTGGTGGCGTAGAGGGCCATCGCGATGAAGTACTTTCTATTGACTTCGATTTTCGTGGCGAACGTATCATGTCCAGTGGCATGGACCACTCACTTAAACTTTGGTGCATTAATACGGAAGATTTTAAAGAAAAAATCGAATTTTCAAGCACATTTAATCCTAGTAAATCTCAACGACCATTCCCAACTATAATGCAACATTTCCCCGATTTTTCTACACGTGATATACATCGTAATTATGTGGATTGTGTGCAATGGTTTGGCGATTTCGTGCTGTCTAAATCATGCGAAAATTCAATCATATGCTGGAAACCCGGTCAATTGCATCAGAGCTTGTCACAACTAAAACCAAATGACCCTTCATGTACCATTATCGCAGAATTCGATTATGATGAATGCGAAATATGGTTTGTACGTTTTGGTTTCAATCCATGCCACAAAATAATCGCATTAGGAAATCAACACGGAAAAGTGTATGTGTGGGAGCTCGATCCAAGCGATCCAGGACATACAAACACGAGTACTTTGAATAATTTAAAATGCAATTCGCCTGTGCGGCAAGTGGCATTCTCGCGTGATTCCAGTGTTTTAGTGTATGTGTGTGATGATGGCACTGTTTGGCGATGGAATAAAACCAGTATCGTGCAAAAAACGCCATAAATATCTCGATAAGTGGGATTGTCGATTGCGCAGTGTTCAGTGACTGCTGTTGTAGAGGCAATTTAAATATTATAAAAACTAACCAAAACGAAAATGCCAAGTAATATATACCAAACTGGAGTGAGAATAAATTTGTAGATTTGCTGCAAATAGGAATTGATATAAATAGGTTAATATAGAATCAGTAGCATAAGATATCACTTAGTATTGTAGTTAAATAAAAGATTATGCTGTGCGATAACTTCGTAAAAAACTTAATTGATTTAATAATTACAATATTTTCAATGAAAATTATTTTCGGAAAACGAATATCTAAAACTTATATTTCATTTATAAGCTTGATATTAAGATTGTTAACTTTAATAATTGAGATATTTAATAAAACCCAAACTAATATAAAATGATTAAGGAAAATCTGTAAAAGTTGTTTATAACGATGTGGAGTTTATCATACGCTTGATGTATAACAACTTTACCATTGAAAAATGTCCTAATTTGGCGTCGCCGTTTTCAAAACAACCCACTTACACACATCAGTGTGCACTTACTCAAAATCAAAAATCAAAGCGAAGTTGTTTACCGGCGCCGGCTTTGTTGAACGGGTTGCATTTTACCAACTCTATTGACATGACCATTCATTGCATTGCCCTTCGATTTTTCCGTCATTATTTGCCACAGCAAGCTGCTCCGTTCGGCTGCCTCAAATTGCATATTGCATAAAAACTCAATGGAGGGGCAACTGAGTAGTCATTAATTGACTATTGGTCATAATGAATGGGAAACTGTGAGAAACATGTAACGAGCAGCATAATGAGAGGAGAAATACAAGCAATGAGTGGCTACAGAAAACAAACAAGCAAATTGAAGAGGATCAGAAGAGCAACAGCTACATGAAATGTAAACACATTTTTGAACAAGTGGTTTTGCTAATTTCAACAATTTAATTGCAGGAAAATGTTTTTAAGAGTACGAATATATGAGTTTTTCCTTTCTTGAAATTCTTCAATATAGGATACAATTCCATTACCCTAGGATGCCAGCTTTCCTTCATTAAATAACCAAAATTGCATAGATAAAGGTATCTTTAGAAAACATGCTCCCATGGTGCTGTGCTCCCCTCGTTTATACCTTTGCTGTCAATTCTTTTCAATTGACTTCGGCACACAATTTCAAAAGAAAATGCTACACTTGTTTTCTTGCAAACACTCTACGCCGAAGAGAACACAACAAGGTCAATAAGACAAGGATACATCGCCTTTTATCTGTTTTGTATATACTCGTATGTATATATATGTAGGTAGTAAGATTTTCTGTAGTTAATTTGATTGTGTCGTTGCGTCCTTTGTCCTTTAAAGGCACAGCAGTTGCAAGCTTTAACCAAAAGAGAGAAAATGCTATTGCTGTTGACGGTAATTTTGATGTTTTTGTCGCTCAGCTTTCTCATGTGTTGTGACTGGCGATTTTCCAATTCAATTTAAACGAAACAACATTGAAGTAAATTACTCGGTGTCTTCTGCGAACTTGTGCAGTGAACAACGTTGTGATGATCTTTGTTCGCAAAACACCTTAGGGGTGAATTCCTAATTGAAACGCATAAATATTGACACATATATAACTTTACTTGTAAATTAAATGCAGAAATTCCGTTATACTTTAATATTCCCAAAATTTATAACATTAATAACCAAATTATATATATTTATTTACTCGCTCAGTCTTCAACTGCTAAGATTGCATTGAGTTATCGGAAAAATTAAGAAATCTACTTTTCCATTCTATTTTTTTAAGCCGAATCCACTCAAGGAAACAACACTCCAATTAACCGCTTTTCAAGCGCGCACGCGACATTTTCCCCTTTACAAACCCATTTGCTTCCATCCAAAGAATCTTGTTTATCAAATTTATGTGCGTTTATGTATTTTGTAGCACACTTTTTGGCGCAATCATCTCAATTACATTATATCCTTGACACGTAAATTCAATAAAAAATTTTATAAGCATTACTTAAAGTTGAAGGTTTTTTGTTGGCTTTATGTATCACTTTTCTACTACTTTTTTCATATTTTTCCACTCTACACTCTTCAACTTCGTTTCAAAGCTATTTTACACACGCAAATCAGCTATTGGGAGCATGTGTCCTCATTGTTGACCATTCACGTTGAGTCTCGTCCGTTGTCTAGTGCCCGGTCTGCACGCTTACAAGTTGGCACATTTGACAGCTTACATGGCATAATTACATAAAGACTGGACACGTCGGACAAAATATGTGCCGGTTCATAAGTCACCAACCCATCTGCGTTTGCTTGTTATTTTACTTGCAATTTCGTTAGTTGCTATCTGCACACGCATAAATCGAGAAAAACCAATTAGCTGGCAGGATTAGATTCTGTTTCTTGCTTAACTTGTTTTGCTTTCATAAATAAGTACAAAAATTCTATTTTCTCTGGATGGAAAATAAGAAAGATAAAAAAATTGAATTTTGCATTGCTTACAAGTCTCATTCAGTCATGTACAACATGCATAAGGGCTTGTTTCATTCGTGATAATTGGTTAGAAAAATACGCCTTCGAATTTCATGCTTATTGTTTATGTTTTATTTTTACAGCCATAAAGAATTTTATTTTCTCTTGTTTAATAGCGATTTTTGCATATGTGAGCATAATAGCAATAGTTATTATTTTAATTGTCTTTATTGCTCGTATTGCCAGCACTTGACACACAAATCCTTCGAAGCTTCCACTCAACTGCCACATTTTTCTCTGCTCTACTAAATGGCACACACTCTTGTCTCTGTGGGTGTAAGTGTAAATAAAATAAGAGTAAATAAATAAAATATGTTTGTTTTAGTGGCTGCTCTTCAGCCTCTCACAGTCAATGGTCCAGTGATGCGTCAAGTGTTATTGTCTTTAAGAGCAAACAAAAGCAACAACAACAACAACACCCAGTAAATCAACAACGTCAGCCATCGTGCTGTCATTCAAGTCGACTGCGACAACAACAAAAACAACAACAACGAGATTGCACCGAGTATTATTACAACAATCTTACCAATCACTATGAAATAAAATATAGCAAAAACAACACCAACATCAACAACAACAGCAGCAGCAACAACAACAACAGCAACAACAAAAGTATTGGCTATAGGTCAATAGAACTTGAAATGTAAATTGAAAGTTTCCGCAAATATTTATTTTAAATAAATGTTTGTGTGTGCTCGCAATATGGCAACTTGTTTATCTATGTAATTGTGTTGATTTGTGCACATACACACACCCACGCAATCTATTATTTATTGGCAATAGACACGTAGAAAGACTTTTGTGTATTTGTAAACACTTGGCAATTGTTGTTATTGTGCTTTTGTTGTTGTTTACACAACAGAAAGAACGGTTAGAAAGTGAAATTAGACGGAGCAACTGTAAATTGAAATATTTTCTGTACAAAAAAAATATTATTCTTCTTCCCGGCGAACACCGGGCCGCATGAATAAAATAATCAATCGATTAAACTTGAATATCTCAGAATTTGCTGCGCATTTATAGAATTTAATTTGAGATTTTTCTACGCTTACATACATACATTTATAGAAATTAAGCTCCGCATTAAAAACCAAAACAGGTGATCTCTTCCGCTCAACCTCAAGCTTCATTACCCATTTTAAGCTAATAAAATTCGATTTTTCCCCAAGCACATACGCTTATTCGCTTATATAAAAACATTCAAGTAAATATAAAATTAATGAACCTCAATATATTAATGATTCGCTGCCAGCAGCAGCTTGATTCACGACAAAACGCTGTTGATTAAAATTCCACCAACGCCAGCATACCCGCTACACTTTCCTCACACATTATCACACACACTCACGTACAACGTTGTTCCAAGCGCTGTGATTTCGTCAGCCGCCTTAAGCCAACAACTCGAATTCACTCTTCATCCGCGTTTCACTTGCTCCACGCTTTCTGCCGTGCACTGACATCATCTCTTATTAAGCTTCACTTTATCACGCGGAGTTTATTGTCGCGCAAATTATCAGGTGAAATGTTTTTCAAAGTTCGTCTTTCACGGAAAATTTCCCCAGCAGTAATTTCAAGTTCTTCAAATTCACCTGAATTTCAAAACAGCAGCGGCAATGCATTTACCTGCCCGTGTGTGTGTGTCGGTGAGAGTAACTCGTTTCACATACTTGCACACACTCACATATACATACGTACGCACATATTTCATCTCCTTTTGTACGAATTCACTCATGCCGGCAAATATTCCCACAGTTAAGTAGATTTTAAAGTAAGTCTGCGTAAAATAGCATGGGAGCTCCCAAGGGCGAAGGGCTCTCTCCCTGCAGCTTGCTTAGCTCGAATATGAGACACGCGCAGAAAGCACAAATCTCATCAAATTTTAATGGAAATCTGACACTCGTCAACTGAAATTAGTACGTCGATGGAAAGAAAATGAAAACAAGAAAAAGTGCCCTGCAGAGCTTTATGTTGACATACGAAATTTCGTATGCATCGACGGCTGCGCGGGGCTTAGGAACAACGGAACACATTTCTAAAGAGAATTTAAAAAGAATATCTACCGGAATTTTATAATTTGATCACAACAGAATTCCTTGTTATTGAAAGGATGGCTAAACCCTTTTAATGTTTTTGTATGTTCTCCAAAACTTACTTGGTAACCTCAAGTCAGAAGATTAAAAAAAAATTAAATATTTAAATGAGCTGCGAATGTAATATTTGTCTAGTGAAAGGTAATTCATTATTTTCTTGTGCCTATTCCCAAAAAAATGGGGAAAACTGATTTGCACAAGCTAACCATTCGCCGTAGACATGAAGAGATGGTAAGCAGTTGGTGCCAGGGCTGTACTATAAGCTGGATGCGTAGGAACCTCCCAAATAAGCTCTCGAAGCTTCTGGCGATTCATAATCGATATATTTGGCTTGGCGTTGACCTGACAAAACCAATTTCCCCTCCTTTTGACCAAAGCTGCGTGGGTCTGGGCTATAGCTTCATCAGACGGTCCAATTGCTGACAGTACGGGTCCCAATTAACAGTTTGGCCGTAACATTGCAATTCATAGTGGAAAGTTCCACCAAACAAGCAATAAAACCTTCCTGGCCGTCAGTCCTGGCTTAAAAACTGTTATTGCCAGATCACGTCGCTTCAACAACGCCCGTTTTCATTTGACGTTGCTATAAGTGATCCACTGTTCCCCACCAGTCATTACCTGCTTCCGAAATGGATCGACTTTGCTACGATTTAGCAGCGATTCGCAAATGGAAATTCAGCTCATGACGTTTTTTCTCCTTAACTCATGTGGCCTCCATACATCGATCTTCTGTGTATGTCCTGTCTAAGTGATTCCAAACTGTTTGTTGTGTCATGTCCAGATCTTGGGCAATAAACACGCTTTAGC